GTCAGGCGAACAGATCGGAATGGGAACAGGCAGGCTCAGAGGTCCAGAGGCAGAACTGGTGAAATTCAGGGAATCGGAAAACACAGGTACTTAGACAACTCTCACCACAGGCTTAAAATAATCTGGTACTGATGGCTTGTTTAAAGGCTGGTTAAATAGAGGCTGAAGCAGATTGATCAGATCAGCGGTAATGAGAACTGGGCGGAGATAGACAGGTGAATGAAATGAGTAATCAGAGCAGTATCAGCTCCAACTACATGACACTTACCATATCCTGTTAGGAAGAATGCACAAACATCTACCCATCAAGAAAGGCAAAAAATTGCATTTTTTGTTAGCAATAGAGGGGTTTCCAGCTAAAACTGGTGAAGACATGTTTGTTTTTCTTCAGCCTTCATTGAGGTCATACGTGTCACAGTATTTCACTGATCCAAAACGTATCTGAATGGAGGCTGACGTATCTGCTGGCTCTGGCAGGTTGTATTTTCGGGAGTTTGTTAATTCACAAATCTTGCTACAATTAATCTTGCTTTCAAGGTAAGATATGAGAATAACTTGAGTGATTTTTTTTAAGTGTTTTGACAAAAGACAACAGAAAAGTATCCGATTTTCAGTATAGGTAGAAGATATTGAAACATTGGGGGAAAAAAGCCTTCCCAACGTATGATGCCATTACCACCAAGTTTTGTTATAGAAATATGTTCAGGGCAATGTGCAGTATTAGTTTTTAGCCCCAAATAGCATACTGTTTCAAAAATGTCCCATTTATGGTCAGATCTAGATCCTTTATTTATTGTTTCAATTTTGATCTATATGCTGCAGTAGGCAAATATCTTTAATGTGGCTATTAAACCAAACTTTAGTTAGTCAGGCTATGCTTATCTCCTGCGGTACAAGTAACTGTGTCATGGAAACACTGTTTTCAGACCGTCTTTAGTTGCCACAGCCTCAATTAGCTAACTGGCATTTCTGCAGGTCTACTTTGATTTATTCTTGGGTGTGAAAAAAAGTGCTATAATGTTCTGACAACACGTCTTCTGGATTAATAATTTGGTTTTAACCCTATATGTCTAAACAATAAACTGACATATTTTTCCTGTGGATGATATTTTATTCCAGAGCAATTTGCTATAGTGCTAGGCTAACATTAGCATGCTTCTTTAATGCGACTGTTTGATAATACGGCCTCTTAACATATTTCAGCTCAGTTTCTTTATCAGTATCTGGCTAAAGGGTGAGAAACCCTTCAGATAAGAAGAATCTGCATTTGTTATATGAGCAGAAATATGCATGGCCATTATTTTTCACAAAATTGGCTGTTCCAACATACCCACGTGGGTTGCTGCTGACAGTCACAGACGGTACATCAGCAGCAGGTATCTGCATACGAGTTTTCTCAGGGAGATTTAAAAAATCGTGACACCAAGTTGATACCTGGTATCAGAACAAGACATGCCTTGTTTTCATGTAGTGTGCCTAACAAAGGCAGTTGACTGATTTGGGAGAAGTGCATCTTGTACGTAGATCAGATTCATTGCAGTCTGTTTGGCGTTGAAGGATTATTCTCAAAAGCACAAGTGGGGCTCAGCAGGAGATTAGTATTAAACCAGATCTAATTGGTAGTCGGACACATTGAAAGGCAGGGTGACACATTGCAATACCTTCAGCCATGCCAGTCATCATGACTAACAGCCGTACTGTCCGCTCTTCCTCTAAATCTACACGTTTCAGCACATGCAGAGAAAAGTCACAAGATTCAAGTCAGTCCCTCATGACTCGCTTGATGTGTTTTTCTTCCCTTCCCTGTGAGTGTGTGGATGTGCAGTTTGTTGAGGAGGGTAAACACAGAAACAGTGTCAGTTTTCAGTTTTTGCCCTCTTTTCCTGTCTTCAGCTTGCCTGTTTCCTGCTCTACTCTCTGCTGTTTTGTCCCATCTGTTTTCTCTTACTGTACTGCCTGACTGTCCTTTCCATGCCTGTATCTGTGTTTGTGTGCAAAATAACCTCATGCTGTTTAAAGCTTGTGTCTCTGGTGGCAAGTCAGAGACCCGCATAAAAGACTAAAAATGTATCTGCGAGTGTGTGAGTGTGTCAGGAGGAGAAGAACAGGGTTATCTGTCTAGAACTGTGGTGGAACAACTACCTGCTGACTATAGTGTATTTTGACATCTTTGTCGGCACAGCGCAAACCTGGACCACACATACACAAACACTCCTTGCTTCAGGCTATCTTTCAAGGTCTCAGTGTCACAAAGTAATGAGATTATTCTCATGTGCAAAGGTTGTGCACATACACACTTCATGCACGCATATTCAGCTATCTATGAGGTCTGAAACACACGAGGCCTTAAGCATGAGGAGTGAAGGCACAGGAAGCATTAATATACAATGGGAGCTGGCCTTCAAGGAATGATTGTTTTCATAATTGAACATCTTTTTTAACGAATCACTGCATCCATAGGAGTGTGTGGGGGGGTCAATATTTTTATGTGGAGGGACAAATGTTTAAAGATGCTCTAAGTCCTCTTGAGGGATGTTGTTGGCCTTCTTTCTCCACTCTTTTGCATGATGCTCTTCTGCAGTCATACAGCACTTATCCCCCTGAGACCTGTCCTACTTAGCATGTCCTTCACCCTATCTGTGGTGGAGACTTCCCGACTTGAACATGAAGAAGAAGAATCCATGTTTGTTGTTTTTTAATGTTTTACAGGAAAAGAGTGTTAAATGCATATTTTCCAATAATGCATATTTTCCAATTGGGCATTAATGGTCCTCATTGATTTGTTTTGTCAAATGCTTTGTCTTGATCCGTTTCTCATTTGGTTTCATCAGCGTCACAGATTTCGTTATTAGTTTTTTATTTGATAAACTAGCTCAGTATTCACTGTAATTGTGTAGTGATGTGGGGGGTTTTATGTTAATATTTATACATAATATTCTTGTGTGCAATTGTATTAAGCTCCCTTAAATCATAACTTATTTTTGCCTTTGCTTTGCAAAACATCTCAGTCGATTGGATTAAGAGTATCAGTAAGCAGCATCTTTTTAACTCGTCAAAATGTTTTAATAGGATTTAGGTCTAAACTTTGAGTTGGCCATTCGGACATAGAAACATGCTTTGGTCTTTCGTTGTGGCATCTAAATGTTTTCCTTAAGTACAACTTTCCTGCATGTTGTATATGTCTCTGTTGCAGCACACCTGATTCTAATGGTTGCTGCAGAAGCCTGTTAATCTTTTTATATCATTCAGGTTTGTGGCAGTGAGGAGAAATCGTAACGGATTGAGAAAAAACTGCCTTACAGGATTGTCCCGTGTTTAACCTCTTAACATCCACCTCATTGTGGGTAATCCTCACCTATTTTGCATACCCAAATGGAAAAGCAAATAACTTAGGAACTGTAAGTCTAAATTACATGTGCAATACATTATTTGAAAGCTAACACTCTCTAGTTTCCTAATATATAAATTAAAATTGGATGACTTGAACACAGACCAACTTGCATCAGTTCAAACACGACTCAAAGCTGGGGGGTTTTATTCTCGGAAATGATAGGTCTTTTTTGAACAGCAATAATAAACACATTATTGAGAAAAAGCATGTTTTATATTTTTTCTACCTCATGTCAACCAGAAATGCAGAAATTTCAGTCTTCTAGCTGTAACAGTTCCAGAGCTGTGGGGCTTTGAACTTTTGGTGTCAGCCTGCTGGTAAAAATTTTACCGGTGGAAATGTATGCATTCTGAGTTATTACCTCCACTTAAGGTCCACCGGGTCGGCGGCGACCCGGTGGGTTTTAAGAGGCTAAATCCATCTACAGTCCCATCAACTTTAACCAGCTTTCCTGTCTCTGTTGAAGAAAGGCATCTCCCACAGCATAATGCTGCCATTAATATGCTTCATGGTAGAAATCGTGTTTTCCTTTTGGAAAGGGTTGTCAAAAATATCAGTACTTAAAAAGTATCGATCCACAAAAAAAGCATCTGGATAGTAAAATATTTTGGCATGGAATCTGTAGTGTAAATATTGTCAACCGTTTGGGAATATTTGTTTATTAGGTTAATTTACTTATTTAACTAGCATCTGCAATGTTGTTGAGAAAGCATGTTTTATGTTGAGATTGCTGGTGAAGTTTGTCAGGCATCCAGGTTATAGTCATTCCAAAAAAGTTAAAAACAAACCACTGGACTTTCTTTTTCAAGATTGAAAGGTTGAGATTGCAAATGGCAATTTTTTTTCATGTTAATTAAAATATTTTCTATGCTTTTGATTATTTCCTTTTTTATCCCTAATATATTTTCCTGGGTATCAATATCCAATTTGAATTGAATTGAATATGACATCCATAGCTCAGGATGATGTTCTCTTTTTTTATTCCATTAGAAGGTTTCCTGTGTCTCCTACATGGCTTGTTACATTTTGGAACCAGCATAGTTTTCCTTATCCTTGACACTCCTCATTAAGAGGTTTTCGGGTCATACAACAATAGTAGTCATGCCAAGAAATTCCCCGACCTAAGTTCTGCAGCTCCTCTAGAGTTTCAGTGGGCCTCTTGTTTGTTTGCTGAAATGTTCAAAGCTGAGGAAAGGTTTTTAATGCCTTAACCTTCCAGAAACTTTCCCCTTCTTTTTTTTCCCATTTTCTTCAGTAATGCGCTCTAACAACCCCGAGAGGCTTTTGGATTTTATTTAAAAGCATCTGCATAAGTTTAAGGTGTATGCAAAACTTTTGCTAAGATGTTGCATTTAAAATCCACAGTAGGTCCTATAATTTAAAAAGCTTTAACAAGGAAGGAGTTTTCTGTCACTTTTAAACTGACTTCATGAACAGTTTATCGGCTTGTCCTGTTACGCCTCGCCTATTTGTGTTACAGTCTCTGGTTTGACCGTTCCCTCTCTGTTCTGCAGCTTTTCTCACTCACATCAGATTCCTCTTGTCATCAAAGTCAGGTCTGTCTGTTCCACACTTACAGCTGCCCGTCCTCTCTCTTTTCCTCCCCCAGACTAGTGCTGTCGTCTGTTTCTGACTACTTTGCGGCCATGTTCACCAGCGATGTACGTGAGGCCAAACAGGACGAGGTGAAGATGGAGGGAGTGGACCCTGAGGCGCTGTGGGTCCTGGTTCAGTACGCATACACAGGTGCACTCTAGAATGCCTTTTGTCATCACAAAAAGGACTTTATCAAAAAATGTTTCTGCTCTCAGTCACAGTTATTTAATTAATAAATGTGTTTAATAGGTCGCCTGGAGCTGAAGGAGGACACCATCGAGTCTTTGTTGTCGGCCTCCTGCCTGCTGCAGCTGTCGTCGGTGGTTGAAGCTTGCTGCTCCTTTCTCGTGAAGCAGCTCCACCCCTCTAACTGTCTCGGCATCCGTTCCTACGCCGACGCCCAGGGCTGCCATGACCTGCAGAGGGCCGCTGACTATTACACCATGGTGAGTCGCTCTCCACATTCTGTCTGTGAACGATCAGACTGCCTGGAAAGAGAATCTACTCTCAGAAAGACAAAGGATGACCTTAAATGACAACGCACGCTGGGCCTCTTATACCTGTGTACCCTTCCTTAGAGATATTATGGTCTGTTCTTATTCCTGATAACAAATTAGCTTCTTATTCACAACTCATCAAACCATTATTTTCACAAAAGATGTTTTTCAGCTCATAGTTTCCATGGTTACTGTGGAAAAAATTCACCTTCCCCATCATGATTATCCTTTTTCTTCTCTTTAAGTTATTTCCTCTTAGAATTTAATGACAGCCTGTTTGTGTGTGTGTGTTGGCTCAGAGGGATGTTGGGTTTTATTGTAACACACATACGGAACCAGTTTGTAGACTTCCCGATACAAAGGCTCTGCTATCTTTTACTACAGCGTAGAGCTGCTACATGTCAGTCCAGCCATCTATATCTGTTTCTTCTTCTGTCAGCCTTCAGTATTTCATCCTTGACTGCCTTCATCCACCAGGAGCACTTTCTAGAGGTAGTGGGAGGCCAGGAGTTCCTTGTACTCCCCGTAGAGGAGATGGAAAGGCTGCTGACATCTGATGACATCCAAGTGCCAGATGAGGAAACCGTGGTGACCTCTCTGCTGAGCTGGGTCAGTCATGATCCTGCCACTCGGCAGCGCCACCTACCATCCCTGCTGGCTCACATCAGACTACCTCTGTTACAACCACAGGTTAGAACCACAGAGAAATCCTCCTCACTAGGGAAAAAAATAATTGAACTTTTATCACAATCATTACTTGGTCCATTATCTTTGCTTTTAAATTTTTAGTGACTACACCAAGATCTCCAGAGTGATTACAGGCAGGAATGACTGCCTTTCCATCACAGGGCAGGGCTAAAAATTATCATCGGCAACATTAATGTGGCAGATTTTGGTTGATAGATTCCGGTTTACATGATCTCAAATATATTATTTGAGTTTTTTTTACAAGGGAATTAATTCATTGGATAGTATCACATGTTTTAAATATTAAAATAAAAGACAGTAGTTGTTGGCTTTACTTCTGACCTGCAGGTTGTTTTCTGTGGCCAGATTAGTTTCATTATTCCTCCTTTTCATTATGTCCTCTTCTGTTATAGACACCCTCACCCTCAATCTGTTTCACTAACCTCTTTAGGCAATTAGAGGGATAATAACAATCATGTCTGCCATAGATTTCCGCTGTTTGTTTGTCCAGTGAGTGGGATGTGTTTAGTTTTAGAGTGTTTACATGCCCTTGCCCTGTATTTGTCATTTAGCAGCGACAGATGCTTGAAATTTTCACCATAATTTTGTCTATTACTTGAGGCTGTAGCTGTTTTAATTTCCCCACTAATTAATCTACAATCTGAGTTAATCCTTGCATAACTACTGAACCCAAGAATATTTTCTCTTCTTGGCCTGTTCCTTACAAACCTTTATGTATATCACTGTGAAAAATGACTTTAGTCCGTACTTGGATACAATTATAGCTGCTGTTCTTTGGGGTTTCCAAACATCTTTGTACATTTAGAGATTCTTCTTCAAAGAATGTCTGTAATGAGATATAAGTCTCTCCTAAATGTGTTTTAATATTGACTGGGCCATTTGCTTTGATCTAACCTGTTCTCTTATACCTCTGTGAATGTTTAAGATCATCGTCCCAACTACAAAAAGCGAACCTTAGAACAGGTTTCCCTCTAGGGATCCTTTGTTTCTGGCTGCACCTTTTTTTTTAACCATCAGCTAAGACTAAATCCCCTGTCCCTGCTGAGGAAAGGCAACCTCACATCATGATGCAGCTCCATGTTTCTCAGTGGGATGACGCAGTCTGTTTGCAAAGCTTGGATATTATGTAGGGGTATTAGCATTGAGAGGTCTACAAATAAATGCCTCACTCATTCTTAATTTTTTATTGTTTAAATGTAAAAACATGCATTTTTTTTTCCTTCTAATAAGCAGTTTTGCACATTCATATATTGATCAGTGCATTAAACCATGAAATCCTGATGATATACATTAAAGCTTCTGATTTTAATGTAAAAAAAAAAAAGCGTGAAAGATCAGTGGTAGCAGGAAGCTGCTGAGACAAAGCTTACCTTTAACACCATGTAGTTTTTTCATCAGAGCTACCTGTTTTTATATTTAGGGGTGTTTTTCTTATCTGTAAAGTATACTGAAGGAGCTTTCCCACATCCGACCCACCCCCGATGCACAGCTAAACCCACAAGTAGCTGTAGCACGTTATCAAGCGAGAAGATTGATGGCAAAGGGCTAAAGTGGTAAATTGGTCCTGGAGCAAAAAAGCCGACAGAAGGAGAGACAGAGAGACAGAGCTTCAGGCTCGTTCTGCCTTCTGCGCTTCATCATTTCGAACAGCCCCTCCCTTTCCCAAAACCATTTCAAACCAATAAGCGCATTAACATTCAGTGAACCCATGAGCTGTGAAATGCCAATAACATTACATAGAAAGTCATGCAGGCTACCTGATCAATACCTATCAAGCGATTAGTCGGCTCTCTATCTGAGCTAGCACTTGATTACTCGCCCAGATGGCGTCAGTTCCTCGGATTAATACCCCTGATCCCTGCTCCCCATTACCCCTGTCACATAAATGCAGATACTCACTCTTGATCTAATCTTTTCAGGCAACCATCTGTATCATGGAGCACCAAGCTGTTGTATGACAGTTGGTGTGATTTTTGTTATGGGGCTGAAATTACTGTGGAAGCAGAGAGGCTGGTTAAAAAATCTGCTATGAAAAGAAGCTTTCATATTTGGGCAAGGCATTGCATATTTACAGCATCCTTCAAACTCTTTGTTACTACCGGTTTAGTAGCCAATGTAGAAATCAAATAATCAATTAACACCTGGAGTATGTGCTCTAAAAGACGCCATGTGCTGAAAGAAAAACACTAAGAGCATTAATTAAGACAAAGCAGTACAAAATATGTTTGTTTACATTTAAAATAAAAATGTTAATTTTCAGGAAACATGTTCTATTCGGGTCTCGTAGGTTTGGTTTCACCGAGGTCAATATCTGTAAAAGATTTTCTATTAACCATTGTCATTAAGTAAAGAATAAATTTAACACATTAATCAATTAGCAACATAAATCATTTGTTCCCATACTAAAACATCTCTCTCTTGGCCTAACTCTTCTGCTGTCTGCTCTTCCTATTAAATAAATAGTGTCATTTGGTACACTGTTGCAAAAAATAAAAGGAACACAATATAACTTCAAATAAATCAAATTTCTCTAAAATAAAACTGTCCTCTTAGGTAGCAGCGGTTATTGACAATAAATTTCACATGTTGTTGTGCAAATGGAATAGAAAACAGGTGGAAATTACTGGCAATTAGCAAGACACACTCACTAAAGGAGTGGTTCTGTAGGTGGGGACAACAGATCACTTGTTAGTACCTATGCTTTCTAGCTGATGTGAAGCATTAGACGGACTCTATTATCCACAAAAGTGGCTCAGGTAGTGAAGCTCATCCAGGATGGCACATCAATGTGAGCTGTGGCAAGAAGGTTTGCTGTTTCTGTCAGTGTATTGTTCAGAGGCTGGAGAGACAAGGGGACAGTCCAGTACACTGAGAGATGTGGAGGGGGCTGTTGGAGGGCAACAACCCAGCAGCAAGACTGCTACCCCTGCCTATGCACAAGGAGGAATAGAGCCCTGCAAAATGACCTACAGCAGGCCACAAATGTGCATGTGTCTGCACAAACGGTTAGAAACCGGCTCCATGAGGATGGTATGAGGGCCCGAAGTCCACAGATGGAGTTTGTGCTAACAGCCCAACACCATGCAGGATGCTTGGCATTTGTCATCTGCTCTTCACAGATGAAAGCAGGTTCACACTGAGCATGTTTGACAGACATGACAGAGTCTGAAGACACTGTGGAAAGCGGTGTACTGCCCTTTATTATCCTTTAACATGTGCGGTTTGGCAGTGGGTCAGTAATGGTGTAGGGTGGCTTTTCTTTGGAGGGCCACACAGCCCTCCATGTGCTCGCCAGAGGTAGCATGACTGCAAATAAGGTACCAAAATAAGATCCTCAGACCCCTTGTGAAACCATAGGCTGGTGTGGTTGGCCCTGGGTTCCTCCTAATGAAGGATAATGCTAGACCTCATGTGGCTGGAGTGTGTCAGCAGGTTTCTGCAGGATGAAGGCATTGAAGCTATGGAGACCTGAATCTTATTGAGCACATCTGGGACATGTCTTAACCTCTTACACCCTAAGGGGGTATAAATAAATTTCTGCCTGACAAAAACACACAAAAGTAAATAACTTATAGCCTCACAGCTATTAAATTTAAGAAGAAACTTTTGGTACGTCTGTAAAGGTAAGATGTCATAGAATGGTTTTCTGGTGTCAGCACCATTGTAGCTTTGACCCTGCCTGAAATATTAGGGACAAAATACAAAATATTTTACATTTTTTGAACCTCGCCAAAATTTTCTTTGAAATAAACATTGCAAAACACTACCAAAATATTATTTATAGCACAAAAAAGTAGTACAGACTTTTAAATCTAAATGTTGTGTAAAAATATACCAAATTTGGACTCAATCAGATGAATCATATTTATTTTAGAATGGTATTAGTGGGAAATTTCTTAGGCGGAGAGGCCATTTTGGCACATTTATCCATAAATGTCACCAAACTGTGCCAAATGTGTTTTTTAAATCAATACTGGGGGTTTGTTAAAATTACGAGGTCAAGTAGCAGCTGGACCCACCGGTGGGTCCGTAGTGTTCTAGGGGTTAATCAATCCACCAACGTCACGTTGCACAGACAGTTTGGGAGTTGTCGGATGCTTTAGTCCAAAACTAGGAGGAGATCCCTCAGGAGACCATCCACCTCAGGAGCTTCCCCAGGCATTTAGGCCATACAGGCACGTGGAGGCTACACACAATGCTTCATTGATTTTTGTGCAATTTTGTTGTCAGATCATTCAACTTTGTACAAAACAAAGTATTCAATAAGAATATTTCATTTATTCATATCTAGGATGGGTTATTTGAGTGTTCCTTTTATTTAGCTGAGATAAGTATATACGCTTAGGGGAACTGGGTCAATTTGGCCCTTGTAGCACAAACAAGCCAACATACTGACCTTTAATAATGTGCTTTTGTTGCAGTGTTTGTAACAAAAAGGTAAACATTTGTCTTATTTGACTGAGGCACATGGTTTCAGGTCAAATTATCTGTGTTTAGCATACTTACCTACATTTGTAGTCCACAGTTGTCATTTGAACAGCAGCGTACGGCTATTATGGAAGCTTGTTAACCCAAATGATTTAGCAGTCCTGTTTGAATAGCACAGTCTCTAATGTGTCACAATATAATCATGACATAGAGTAAAAACTTTAAAAATTCTATAAAAATGTAAAAATGATTCAGTTATATCTATTTCATGAGAGCTGTTGGGTGTGGCCTCCAGCTGAATCAATTGGAATTTCATTGTTTTGTTGATGAAGGAAAGCGCTCATTTTTTGCATTGAAACGCACTTAAGTCAACATTTTTCAAAAATTGAAATATCTAATTAAATTTGTTGTTATATTTAAAAATGAAATCGACTGGTATCAACTAATTAGAGTGCGCAATTTTAGAAAATTTTGTGCTGGTGGTATCAGCTTTAATATACGCCTCTTTTTTTCCTTTTTCCCTGTTTCTCATATTTATCTCCCTTTGGCATTTTGATAAATGTTTTCTATGTTCGGTGTGGGCTTCTGCTGCCGTGACTCTCCAACTGGTTTGATAAGACATTAGCCTGAAGAATGCAGGTTCATAACACTTCTTATATATGATTGTGCTCCAAGTTATCCTCTGCAGTATGAATATTGCGAACGCATATATTGCACTGCTGATGTGTTTTCGATTGCTTATTGTTCAGGCATAACATAGGCCTCAGCTCTTAAATCTGGGAAATCCTGAAACAGCTTGATAATACTAAACCCTGGTGTCGATATTAGATTCTTAATTTTAAAAAGGCTGTTTACCCGCCTTCATACAACGCTGACCTGTCCAGCTTTTGATAACAAAGCCTTAGGAGGATTTGATTTTGGCTGTTCTTGTATGAAGAATCCCTGAGGAAAAAGATTGGAGACTCCTAAAGGATGAGACACATACAGCTGAGGGATATGTGTTTTTTTTTTTTTTTTTGGGGCATTAGTGCTGTGGTGCATTGAGTGGATGGCGCCCAGCTCTATCTCCTCTACGCGTGAGCCGAGACGGGGGATAATGCAGCTTTCACATCCGCACATTTTGAGGTGGAGAGACGCTGTGGAGGAGGTGGGTTGCCTGCGGGATTCATTCTTATCTCGCTCTCCACGTTCAATCCTCCACAGCATGATGGATAAATGACCAGAGAGAAGGACAAACATGTGATTTCTGTATCTGTCCTTCTGAGTCACCCACACACACACACACACACACACACACACACACACACACACACACACACACAGATGGATGAGTAAAAAGGGCTGACTGTAATTTGTCGCTCTGTGATTGTGCGCAGCTGAAGTATGGTTTGACCCTGGCGTGTAAGCTGCTTATCCATTTACCATGCTTGTTTTGCGCCTCTACACTTCTAGCTGTGAAATTAAATTTCCCATTCAGTGACCAAGTTTATTTACGTGGGGCGAACCCTTTTTTTGTGTGTACTTAGATGTGAAGGAGAACATCAAACTGTGGGAGGAATCTTGATCAGAAACAGGTGCATGGGAAAAGTCTTCATGCCCCGTGGATTTTTTTTTAAATGGATTTCATTAAGCTACCAAGAAATGGCAGTCCGTGACTCACGGATCTACTGGCCACAAATCAGTCTTTTGTGAAAGAATGTTAAGAGCAATTTTTTAAAAAATGACTAAAGACTCCTCTTTAAAATTTGCCACAAAGCAGAAGCTGCTTTGATCAGATCATGACTGCACGCTAGCAAAGCAATTTATTAATTTAGCTGTTGCGTAATTTTACCAGCAGATTATGAATATATTAGATTACTATAACTTGGAGTTAGGGTTGTCAAAAGTATCGATACTCAAAAAAGTATCGATACTGAAATGTTGTATCCGGATACAATACTCGTTTTTAAAAGTATCGATACAGTGCCACCACCAGTGGCACCTAAGCAGTCATTCATCTAAAGTGCAGAATAGAGGAAAATGCACTTTCAGAACACTGTGTGATTGAATAATTCTACGCACTTTTCAGTTTCAGACTTTTTTTTTGTAAGAGGTGCAGCTGCTGAGAATGATTTTTGTTTCTTAACCGGTTTGGCTAGTGTCATTGTTATGTGTGCAAAGCATAGCCAAGGAAGGAACACTTAATTTTAATTTTATAAGTTTTTTTATCAAGCTTGCTTAATATTGTGCACAGCATACAACCTTAAAATATTGTTCTTATTGTTTATTGTATTTATTTATTGTATTTTATTTATTAATGAAGTCTTTGTTTTTATCCTTGTGGTATCGAAAATGGTATCGAGTATCGAATATATTCCTTAGTATCGGTATCGAGTTGAAAAGTTTAGTATCTTGACAACCCTACTTGGAGTTATAATTAATAATAGGTCATTCAACTCAAGGGGAAAAACAATAAATGATCATTAGTTAAGGATAACTGGTATCTATTTACACACCAAGGCTCTTTAGTTTTCTACCTAAAGTTGAACTTCTGCACTGGCTGTTAAAATCCAGTTTTCTTTTACTAATTTAGTAATTTTGACTATGGTTATAATTAGTGTTGCACTGATACCAATATCTGGCTGGGCCCCGATCCAGCCTAAAATGGTGGTATTGGCATCGGCAAGTAAAAGGTAGGCAAAGCCATGATGGCAATTATTTTACATCCAAGTAGTAAGCAGTTCTTCGTATATACACACACACACACATCAGTTTCAAACAGATGGTATCGGTATCAGCCGATACTGCACAGCCAGGTATTGGGTATCTGTATCGCGGCCAAAAAATGGCATCGGCGCAACACTAGTTATAACTAAGCAGTTATTAATCACCAACCAAATGAAATTGTCTCTGTTTCTTCAAGTTTTACCCAAAAAGGTTGAATCTGGCTCTGAGTGATAAATTGTTTTCAGCATAAATATTCACAGAAAATCACAGTTAAAATATCTTTATTGTAATACCTATTACATTATTGGTGTATCTTATAGCTATGCAAACACTACTCACTGCTGAAAATAAGCGCAAGATAAATGAAAGGCTTAGAAAAAGGGGTCTAAGAGTCCATTCAGAGTAGGGCTATAGCAATACACGAATCTCGCGATACAATACATGATATTCAGCTCACAATATGATGTCACAATATTTTTAGATGATATGATTTAATTCGATATAATCCGAAACACTTACAGTACATAATTTCTGACAGATTTGAAAGGGACCGAGTGGTTTAAGTGACATCTTGTGGGTGTTGTCTTTACTTAGATTGAATTAGTTGAACCGAAAACTAAAAACATCATTTACTTAGCATAAGTCTTACTGGACAGAGAGTCTACAGCTTGCAAATGCAAGACAAAAATGAATCGCAGATGTATGGAGAAAATGTGTTTCATTTATTAAAACTGTTCAAACTGTAGCTTCCAAGCCTTTGAAATAAATAAACTTAAGTAATACATTTACTGTAACAAGAGATTTAAAAAGTGCAACAACTCCTTTTTGTTAGCATGACAACAATGAACATGTGAGGTAACCAGTCAAACTATGAGGAGTAGACCTTCCCCAATAATTCAAGTCATTAAAAAAAAAACATTCAAACATTTAACTTAAAATGTACCCGTCTTAGCGGAGTAGTTTAAGGCCTGTAGGCCTATAAGTGGGGAAACTAGTCCAGCCATCAGCTGCAGACCAAGTTATCTACATTCTCTTCAGATTTCTGACCAAATCGCTCTTCCTGCCAATCAAACGGGGATGAACGCAGAGGATCTGAAGGGCACTTATGTATCGATACTCGCAGCTTATAAATCTATGTTTTCTTGGAAAACAAAAAATATCGGTTTATATCGCAAAAGCAATAAAATTGCCCAGCCCAAGTTTAGAGTCTCTATGGAATGTTCAAGTTTAAAGGCTATGATGTATTGATGCATTTAAGGTTGTCCTTTAAAATAGCAGATAAGTATAAATAACAACTCTAGCAGAGATATTAAATGCAATCAAAACATGGAAGCATCCTTTGGTTTTACAGTGAATAATAAACAATGACTCAGAAATGCATTAATATGTAGCAGATGTAGCAGTACTAGTTCAAAATGACTTAGTCACCAGGAAGCCAGGCTACGAGGCAGGGCTGAACCAGGACAAATGGTAGTAAAACCTGTTCTAAGACAGCCGCCACCACATATTGGCTTGGCCGAAGATGAGGTAGCTTTAAGCTATCAATGCTATCCAATCAAATATTAGCACATTAACTCTACAGACAGGCTCGGTGAGCATTAGCATTCAGCTCAGAACTCTCTTACTTAAAAACAATCAGCAGTTGAAATTAAAAAGCTTTGTAGTCTGAGCCAAAATGATCATACCACATTGCACAAGTTGGAAACCCTGGTAACACTATTTTCCACTAGTTCTAATTTCTTAGTCATATAATTATAATAAAATGCATCTCAATTGCTTGCTGTAAAGAAACAATACTTAAAAATATTCAAGGTATTGTCAGTATTTTTGAGTGGAACTATATAATCACATAACTTGAATTACAGAAAGGCTCTGCCTGTCACCTCTTAGCATACATATAAACAAACACACACCTGTCTAAATGTAAATCATGCAGTTATTTTCCAAAGGGAGAACCTGACTCTCCATCCGGGATCTCGCAGGCAGTCATTTCCTCTGGATATATTTTGTGAAGCCGCCTGGTGGATCGAAGGGCTTTGGGCTGCTGCCCCTGGCTGTTTGTTTCTGATGAGGGTATCGACCACAAAACTGATGAGTTGCTGCGAACAGATTAGTGCTCCTGTGTGACAGATGATCTGTGTGTTTGTAGTTAAGCAGCCAGTTGCTCATGCTTTCTTCTAATCTCCCGATCAATGATAGGACAGCTCTCTTTAGATTCTCAAACCTCCTCAGTCAGCAACAACATAAAAACCAACACCACCTTACATCTCTGTTGCGTATGTTTGCTCTGGATCTGTAACATGATACTGTGTGCTGATGGGTGCTTTCCTCCCATATGTGTAGTTCTTGGCTGACCTGGAGTCCAACCCCCTCCTCCGTGACAGCGTGGAGTGTCAGCGACTCCTGATGGAGGGGATGAAGTATCACCTCCTGCCACAGCGCCGGCCACTGCTTCAGAGTCCTCGCACCCGGCCCCGGAAGGCTACAGTTGGGGCCATGTTTGCCGTGGGCGGTATGGACGCCTCGAAAGGTAGAGCAGTCACTCATTTATACCCAGATGCACAACGTGCTGTGATGAATCTCTGCTTTGCTGCACTGAAGGAAACATTACGACCTACAAAACAAGCAACACTGGAGCAAATCAAAACCACCGTAAAACAGAAAAAATAAAAATGATATATTAAAGAAGCTTGTAAATTAAACTGGGTAAGGACTTGATTCACTTAGGAAAAAAATGTGCTTTTCTTAGGTGGATGATTGTGCAGCTCACAAGTTGGAATAGAGATGAGTTAGAGTTGGTCTCCACTGACAGATCTGGGGAAGGAAATTTGCATATCATTAAGACTGACTTAAATAGCATAAGAATAATAGGCTTGAAATTATACATAAAGCTCAGATCTATCCACACAACACCACTTATGTTGGCTTGGCACCGATCAAGCTGATTGGTGATACGGTCCTGGGTGATTTTTGATGTGTGTTTGGATTCACTATCAGTCTTAAACACCTAATTGTGTCAAGGTAACAATAGACATGTTTACATGCAAATGTGAAGCAAACTTTAAAGCTACAGGGTGTAATAATTACAGGGATATACAGTCAGAAATGTAATATATTATACATAACTATGTTATTTATCATCATCTATGAGCTCAGCCTCTTAACCTTAATATTTGCGTTGTCTTAGAATTCGTTATTTATAATTACATAGGAGCAGGTCTCGCAGCCATGGAGGCAGACATCTTTGCGCTACGGCAGCGCAGAGCCAACAAACTTCACAGCCAAACGTCACAACGATGTAGAAAAAATAACGGGTATATTTATTATCTTAAGTCTACATGAAATCTATACCCTACACAGACTAATGAAATACTATCTGTAAAATTATCTATGTAAACAAACCTCATCACTTGAGAAGGTAGGTGATGCAGACGTCGTGGAAGACATTTTGTCCCGTAACGCTCGCCGTACTGTTGGGGGGAGAAGCGGTGGGGGGGAGATGTTCATGTTGCTGCGGTCTGCAGTCTGGACGCTAGATGTCGCTGAAAATTACACACTGTAGCTTTAAGTGAATTTTTAAATTGTACAAAAAAAGAAAATGTGAATTAGATGCACATCCATCTATTGAAGCGAGTTACCCAGATGACGCAAAGGTTAACCTCGTCATACGTTCAGGTTACGATTTTCCCTAATAAGCAAGAAAACTACCAACTCCACCCGTCCTTCCCTGCAGTTTTCAGATCTGCCTGTTTCCCACCTAAAAACAATTGGAAACCACACCAATAAAAAAAACACACCATAAATTCCTCCTGAACATTCAGTTTAAATCACAAACCCTTAAAACACTTAATACAGAATGCAATGCCATGCTATTAACACAACATAAGCCTCTGACTGTGGTATCAGAGAAGCTAATAACGAATAGCTTTGGATCATCATCTGGGACAGAAGGAATCTACGATGTGAGATCCTCATCAGCCTCCAGTTCTTCTGAATAATTGTACATTTTCTCAGTACCTCAGCTAAGATTTGCAGCTGGAAGAGAAAGCCATGGGGACGACATTGGAAGGTTTCTTAATAACTGCTCAAATTCTGGCTAAAGTTGTCTCTCTCCCCTCCCAGGGGGCAGGCCGTAGGTATGGCTGTAGCCAACAGCTGCCGGTAGATTTTGACTGAACAATCCAGCATTTTCAGTGAGGGAACAAAATAAAACTCTCGTCCTCAAATTGTCTCAAGCACAGAAGATACGCCATGAGTGATCCAACTCCTCCTGATCTCGTCTGACCTGCTTCACCCAATTTAAAAGCAGCTCAGGATCTTAAGAAAACTTAGATAAGCTGAAACCCAGCCGACCCAACTTAATCCATGAAAACTTCAGCAGCAGTCCACAACAAAACCACTGTTCCTACCCTCATTTGTTCTTCATACACTGGTCCCGCTTTCTCTCTCAGTGACTGAGCTGTGCTACAGTCCCCTGAATGGCATTTTTTGATACATTTTATGTTATGTGGGCTTGCTTTATCATCAGTATTAATGTTTTGGTCTACAAAAAATTCTAGAAAAATAAAAGAAATTGCTATTCATAGTAAGATAAGAGCAGGTCTCGGCATTTATGGAGGCAGACATCTTTACGCTATGGCAACACTGAGGTGACAAACTAGTGACCATAGAGATCCTTTCCATCTTTCTTGTCTAATACCCCCAGTGCCACAGTAAAGGCTTGGACTCTGTAAACAGGAAAGATATATGCTTCCAACCAACACAATCTCGCTATCAAACTATCAGACTACAATTACTTAGTCCGGTTATAATAGTATGCTAAGCAGCTCACTAAAACATGACGACGATGTGGAACAAATAACAGGTATATTTGCTATCTTATCTGATAAAATCTTTGTCCTATACCCTTTATCAAATTATCTATGTTAAAAAAAAACGTGTAATCACTTGTCAAGATGGTCGATTTGGACATTGCAGAAGCCATTTTGTATCATTAACTCTAGATCGTTCGAGAGGGAGAAGCAAAGGCGGAGTAGTTTATGATGCTGCAGTTCTTGACCCCTAGATACCGCTGAAAATTAAACACTGTAGCTTGAATGAATGTGTTGCAATCAGGAATGCTGTACTTTATTATGTCAGCTAGTTTTAGTGATGGTACATGCCATCCAGAGACGTCCAGAGATATGTGATTCCACTGGCAGCGAAAAGACCTGATCTGAGTTAAATATTTGTCACATCGGAACGAATTCGAAAAACATGTTTCCATTTCTTAAGGAAATGTACTTATTTTGAAAATATTAAGAAAAATGCCTTGTGACATTTAGCAAGTTGATTCAAATTTTGCTGCTTCACTCACTCTTTAAATATGATATCTTATAATGAGCACTGCAGAACGCTGATGGATTAACATTAATTAAATTTTGTAGTTTAGAGGGGTTGGTGATTTGATCCTGTGTGTTTCATTGAATATCCAAAAGGTTATTACTTATTACATGTGAATTTAGCTTCTTTATTTGTTTTATTTTTAGGAGCCACCAGTATCGAGCAGTACTGCCTGCGCCGGGACACGTGGAGACAGGTGGCCACCATGAGCGGAAGGAGACTGCAGTTTGGGGTTGCTGTCCTCGATGGCCGTCTGTACGTGGTCGGAGGCCGAGATGGACTCAAGACCCTCAACACAGTGGAGTGTTACAATCCGCACAGCAAAACCTGGAGCGTCATGCCTCCCATGTCCACACATCGGCACGGCCTGGGTGAGGTCATGTTGGAGCTGATGAAAGGCTCCGTCATGGTCGCATTAGGGGTGTAAATAATAATCGTTTTGTATCGATGCATCAATCCAACAGCCGCCGATGTGATGCATCGATACGTCCACAAGAGAATCGATTCATTTTTTTTTTTTTTTTTTTTTTCGGTCTATTTTTATCCATTTGCTCCTGGGCGTAATTCTCCCTCCCATGCTGCGGTGGCGCTAAACCTATTTTGCCCTTCTACCGCGCTTCCTGGTTATACTCTTACAGCAGTGTGTTGCAGTGAGCTTGACACAGACATTTTTGGTTTATGTTCAATATTTAAACGTGGTCTGTGCTACACTCTGTGGGTCTAGATACTGCCGAGGCGGTCAGGAAGTTGGGGCGAGTTTACTCCGACGACGGAGGGCCATGAGGGCCAAAAAGGGCAGAGATCCAGGTGGAAAAAGGGTCCCAGCGTTCTCGCGCACCTCGCTGTTCTAGCGGGTCAAACTTCACGAGTTGTTTTCCGCAATTTCGATCATAAAAACAAAACAAGCCGGCACTGTGGCACTGTCTGTGCTCAGCTACAATTTGGGAGAGGTGCAGGGAAGCATCTGTGGAGGGGGGCGGGGACGTCTGGAGCCAAGGTATTGCATTGCACTCATTGCACTGATTTTGTGCAGTATTTACATAATATTTATATATTTTATAATCTTGAGTATCGAAAATAATCGAATCGTTGGGTCTGGACATCGATACTGAATCGAATCGCCATGATGGATGTGATTTACACTCCTAGGTCGCATTGAGTTTCAGTTTTCCCTTTTCATTGCATCCTTTGTTCTGTTGATCAAGAGTTTTTCACTGTTGCAGCAACAAAAACAGACACCGTGTGCTCCTTTTATATATAAAGAAACATGTCCATGTGTTTCGAAGAAGGTTAAAATCCGGACACATCTGGCAGCACAGATGTTACAGCACATAAATCCCCTGCCGGACGTGTCAGCATGCTGCTACCCCTCTGTAGCTAATGGCCTAGATTCAGTTACTCCCCCCTCACAATATGAATTTACTGTCCATGTTGTGAAGGTATGAGTGCGGAGAGTGTGTTGGAGCTGTTTAGTCATGTAGAAGGGGCACTGTTTAATCTAACACCTGCTTGTTCCTGCAGGTGTAGCTGTCCTAGAGGGACCTATGTATGCAGTAGGAGGACATGACGGCTGGAGCTACCTCAGCACAGTGGAAAGGTCTGTTATTCTCGCTAATAAAAGTTACTAGCTTACCTACTATGTTTTAATCAGCATTAACTGTTATGAAGCTTTTTTTGTAATGATCCTTATCGATTTTTTCCCTGCAAACTCTTCAAGGTGGGACCCTCAAGCTCGCCAGTGGAGTTTCGTTGCAAGCATGGCTACACCCAGAAGCACAGTGGGAGTAGCCGTTCTCAATGGAAAGTAAGCAAAAGCTTAGCTTGTGTTTGTAGTGTTTGTTTTTCCCTTGGCTGCATAAAAAAAAAAAAAAATCAATGTTAGTACAATACTGTAGTGCTGAGGAAACTATTTTTTGTTAAATGAGCTGCTGATTAAGCCAGTGTTATATTTTTTATATAGTTACTAAAGCTTTCAGTACAGACTGCTTCACCTGCTGTTAGTGTAATGATGATCAGATGAAGCACAGATACAGCAGCTCATGGTTTTGTTACAGATTTCAATCAGTTCTGTTAAAAGCAACAATATAGGAAGATTTAAGAGGTTTGGGAATATATTTTCCTTCTCTTCTTGTCCCAAACATCCGTTCTATGTTTATAATCCCATATGAATAATAGAAAACATTTAACAAATACCCCAACCGATGTTTTAAACCGTATTGACCATCTTGTTTTAGTGCTTTGCAGTTAGCTTAGCGAGGCTGGCGTTGAGAAATCTTTCCAGTCTCCATAAATATTCACCAGGCCGTTACTTTAACTTTGAGAAGTCTGCATGATGTCTTCTATGAGCCTAACAGGTTTAAAGATCAAGACAATCAAACAGAAAAGCCTGGATATCTGTCACTCTCTTGCAGCACAAACAAACAAACAAGTTTTTTTTATAGAATACCTTCCTTTATCTAAGTTGCTCCTCTGAATTGGATTTCAGTCGCTCCTCAGCAACAGTATCCTCTCTAATCAGTGTTTTTGTGAACTTGAACCCTGGATAAAAAGCTGATTTTTGCATTTTGAAACGCACAAGTGACCAGTCAGGATTGTTCTCAAGAATATTTAGCCATTTTCAGTCCCCAGGAATATTTTTGGTGCTAGCTTACCTTCTAATTTTGTATAAAATCAGAACAGAAATGTTGATGTTCCTTATTTTTTCCTGTGAAAAAATGGGTTTTTCTGTATATCTTAAAACTGCAGATACAGCTTTAGACTTAGATACATTTTTTGTCATTTTGTATACACGTGTAAAAAAAGAAATTTCGTTAAGAACAGCTCTCTATACAATTTAATTTTTTTTAAGTGTAGCCTTGGAAAAACAGTAAAAAATATAAATACAAATGCAGCTTTAGAGATGTAGAAGGATGTAAACTCACTATTACATTATAACAACCAGCTGATGTTACCTGAATGCCAACTGGTTGTTTGATAGGCATTGTAGAAAACAAATATATATCCTACCATTACAAATTTAAATGGTGCTTTGCCAGATGTTGCAGCTTTGGTCATAAAAGACCAATATGACAGTTTTAACTAAAATCACTCTAAAAGCCACATGACAGAAAACACCTCTGCTAAGTGTGTTGGAGGCTCTGTGATGCTGGGGGCCTGTTTCTTTTCCAAAGGCCAAGTGAACCTTGTTAGTATAATAAGAACAAAAATGGATCATCATCTGGTCTTTGAACAGAATAGGAATCAACAACTTTCTGTCAAATAAACACAGAAAAGCTTTGTCAGAAATAAATTCACTCTTCTTCCATGAACATCGCAGCTCTCGGGTCTAAATCCTCTAAAAAAAACTGCCTTTTTACACATCTTTACCAGCAATGCCAGCATGAAAAGGTTGTCATCATTTAAAAATGTTCAGGATTTGAAAAAGCTGTTTTATTTTAATATTTTTACTACAGCCATAAAAATGTTTCACTGTCATCCTGTAGGGGTATTTTGGCGTCCTTGTTTGCAGTTCAGGACCTTACCACTAACTCGGTCCCACACTGCAGCTTCACATATGTTGCTTGTTAGGAGTTCAAGCTGTGAGCCTTAAAAACACCAACTAATTAAGGAGGATCATCTGCTCTCAGTTTGGAACAACTTACCCCACACCTCTGCTTTCTGTGTAATTTTAGGGACATGGTTTAAGAAACAGCTGAGGGGACATGTTGGTGTTTATACCAAGGTACTAAAATCAGGGCCATTTGCTCCCCACAATAAGATAGATCCTTACTCTGGGCTGAATCACCGCTGTTGTTTCCATTTTCACTGCCTTTGAGTGAGGCTTTTCATTGTAGATGCTAATTAATACAGAGACAACAGATCTGTGCCAGCCATGCCCAGGAGTAGCCTGTGTGTGTGTTGTGATGTGCTTCCTCTGGGCTCTTTGCCTGATGGAGCTCATTACTTGCTTGACCAGTTCTGTCGCACTTTCTTCTCCAAAGTGCCGGCATCGACATCAGCAGACGTTTGTACACATGCACACAGTCTCAAACACACACCGCCCTGATGACAGACGGCTTAGGGATGTGTTGCTCCAAAAGCTTTGCCTTTGTGTTGTTTTTTTTTTTTTTCTTCTACCCAAAATCTTCACACCTTTTCCCATCTGCCTTTCTGTCAGAAGCTGAAAAGGAGGGCAAAGAGGTGAGAAATGTTTTGTGTGTGCACCAGAGAGACTCACTCTGGCCGCTGTTTTCCTCAGGCTGTACGCTGTAGGAGGTCGTGACGGCTCGTCCTGCCTGCGATCAGTGGAGTGCTTCGACCCCCACACTAACAGGTCAGGGAGACTTCCTCTGGCAGGAATGAAGCCTTCCTTCATGCTTGATTTTCTGTTTCCATGTGAGAATCAGCTTTTCCTCTAAGGTCATTTAGCTACAGATCAAAGATGGTGGGAATTCATTCATCACCTCATAACCCCTGTTACTAAACTACTGTTATTAATAATACATGGTAAAGAGTTTAGTGTTGATAGTTCGTTAAGAGAAAATGAGTTTTCTTTCTGTTTTCTGATGGGTCTTTCTTCTCTCATAGGTGGACTAGTTGTGCTCCAATGGCTAAAAGGCGTGGAGGAGTGGGGGTTGCCACCTGGCACGGTTTCCTATATGCCATTGGTGGTCATGACGCCCCGGCATCATCCCTTGCATCTCGATTAAGTGACTGCGTGGAAAGGTGAGGCTGCTTTATTCATGTTTTCTCTGTCTATAAAGGTGTGTCTAATAAAGTTAAGGAAAAACAAGACTAACTAGAGTGTATGTGGTGTGCATTATACTGAGTTTTATCATGTACTTCATGGTGGATTTAATATCAAACTTAATGTGATGTCTATTATCTTATTTCAGCAATCTTATTGAATGATTCTTTTTTATCACTCAATAAAATGAGTCTTGCTTTCGTAGATATCTGTGTACTGAGAAGCTCCGTTGAATAAAGAAACAAATGTTTTCACAGCACTGCTTTTACGTTTATTGTCACTCCTGATTAAGATGCGTGAAAAGTCCTAAAATAAATGGATCCTTCATTGCAGCAGCATAACATGTCGCAGCAGTTCTGTGTTTAGATGATAGATTCCAGTTTTCATTGCCCAGGGGATAGTGGGGTTCCTACGGAGAAACGTGGCCATTAAAACACCATCTAACTGGCATTGTGTCCTCCATCTTTTATGATTATCTCTTTGTAATGGTTTAAAAAGCTGCAGAATATGCCACGGTTAAAAAGTTTGTATTTCCCCAAATTCTTGCTTTCACCTTCCACTTGTTTATTAGCGGTCTCCTATTCTTATCTAAGTTAAGTCGAAAATAACTTTAACATCCTCTTTCACACGTACATAACCTACATAACATTTTTGTTCCCCTCTACACCTTGTTTTAGCGATGTCTAACTTTACTCCAGACCCTAATGATGTATTGAAAACACAGCCTGCTGCTTCTACCTGTAAACTACTCTCCCTCTGAAGCCAAACCAGCATCAACACATATGAAAAATGTTTTTTTTATAAAACACAAGTCAGATAATTATGAAAAAGAAATACAAGCACAAGTTAAAACTTAATAGAAATTAATTTGTTTTGTTATCGTTTTTTTTTTCAGAAAAAAGAATAAAGCTGGTAAAATGTCATAATTTTGAATAGCTCAGAATGTTTTGTCAAGATGTGTCTTTCAATATAAAGGTTTAAAATTTACTCTGCTTTTTATAATTTCTTAATCACCTTTTAACAGATTCTAGTTTTTCTTTAAGAGGATTAAATGCCAAAAGCTAATTAATACAGATCTTTATTTTACTGCTATCCTCATTTTATGATTTATTAGAGTAAAGACATTTTTTTAAAGTGAGCCACAGTGTAAACCAGATCGAATCAGGACTAAATAATTGATGAAATAAAACTATGCTGCTGAAGAAAATATTGGACTTCATTGGTTTTTGGTGAGGTTCACCTGTGGGGGGGTTGAAAATGCAGGTAGTTTGCTGATGAATTATGGGATGTTTTAAAACCTCTGCTGATCCTTTCTTACACAGTTTGATCTTACAATTTCTAGATGCTTGTTGGTCTGACATTATCATTAACATTTGATTCATACCTGTAATTTTTTTTTTATATAGAAATATCCAAGTAATTGCATACAATCACTAACACTGTAGTATTCTCTTTTTACAAAAAGCAATAGTGAATTGTTCACAGCAATGAGTAATTTTGCAGCCTTGTAGAAATCATGTCGCAAAGATCCTTGCAAAAGAGCAGAACTCCCTTCCTCAGAAAGAAAACCACCTGCATAGGAGAGTCCTACCACCAAAAACCTAAGCTAGGTAGGATGTGCAGCAGGGCAAGTACTTGGCGGCCTATTCAGCCTTGGGGTGACGATATGCTGTGAATTGGCACTATAAAAATAAACTGAATTAAATTCACGATACAGTCAGATCTCTGACAGACCCAATACTTTTTGTAATTATTTTACAAAATACACAACCATTACAAAAAAGCTTACTGATTGAGAGGTTGTACTCCATATTATAGCTCTGTTGTTAGCTGTGTAACACGTTTTTTTGTTTTATTTTTTTAATCTAGTGCTGGATTGAGTCATAATCAGTTGACTCAAATGCAGTGGCAGCTGGCGGAGTTTTGTCCATGGGGGGGCTATAAACTCAAAATAGACATACACCAAAAACCAAACACGTATACTAAGTTACTGCACCAGTATATTTATATGAATGCCAACAAAAAGAAACATTATGAAAACACTTTGTAAAAACAAAACCTAATTTCATATAGAGGTTTACTTTTTGTACATTAATCTTGCCCTTCCAAGGCGTTATGAAGACAAATTTGTGTTTTGCATGGTCCAATATTGTGTAATGTGTGCATTGTGTAATGTACCAGTTTAATAATGGAGAAGCTATTAGACAGCGTTATATCTTTCAATATGTAAAAACTATTTTCTGAGAATGTGTTTATTTAAGAGCAACTATGCAAATTAACAAACATCTAGAAAAAGTACACTATATTATATTATTTTCCATGTGAATCCCAGATTGTTCATTCTTCTTTGCCTTTTTTAATAAGTGTTTTAAATCAGTCATGCCTGTCTTTATCTGTGCTGGGTCAGATCCTGACATTTGAAAAACGAGGCCGGAAAAGCAGAATACAGCGTTAGCCTCGCTGCATGCAGTTAGCCAAGCCTTGTAGCTAAACCAGATCCTGGAAAAAGAGAAAGAGTCTCCCTCTTTCTTTGGACTCCTGATTAATTTTGATGTTCGGCTGATAAGATAACGGTTTCACCTCCAGCTTCCCTTGGGAAGTTTGCTTCCCTCCCGCGACTTGGCCTGTCAATAACCCGCACAACTGTGACAACAGTTCCTGCCATCTCAGGGCAAACCAGAACTGCGCCCTTATTTCTCCTATACTTCTTTATTGCAAAGGAGCTACTGCACATGTATTTTTATGTCTTAATCAAGGTCATTGGGCTCTATAAAGGGCCCAAGTGCCCTCTATTTGCCAGCCACCACTACTCAACCTAAATATCATTTTCTACTAACATAACATAATGGATATTAAGTATAAGTTATGTAGTCTCACCTCTTTACACTTGTAGTTTTTGTATGAATTGTACGTTGAATAACTGCCTGTAACCATCAGTTTTATCCTTCTTTAACATCCATCCATTTTCCATCATGCTTAAAATACCATTAACATACACACTCACACCTAAGCAGAATTTAGAGAAGCCAATTACCCTAACAGTCATGTTTTTGGACTGTGGGAGGAAGCCAGGGTACCCGGAGAGAACCCACGCATGCTCAGTGAGAACATGCAAACTCCATGCAGTAAGACCCCAGGCTGGGAATCGAACCCGGAAACCTTCTTGCTGCAAGGCAGCAGTGCTACCAACTGCGTCACAGAGCAGCACCCTTCTATAACATTCTTTATCATTATTGCTTAACATTAGGTAGGAGCAGGGAGCATAATGTGATATTTAAGATTACTTGTTTATTTTCCTGTAGTCTCTCATGGTTTACTATTTTCTATGGCAAAGCAAGCATGAGCAGCTAACTTCCCTCTAACTATTTAAGCTCCGTGCTCTATACTAGGAGCAAAGTGTTATCTTAGCAGTCTAATACTAAAGTTGAGAAAAGAAAATGGGTTTTACATCAGGCTTCTTCTTTCTCCTTTCCAAGATTGCCTCTTGTTTTTTCCTCGAACATCATTCCTTTTACATTTTCCTGCCTCACCAATGACTAGGGGTGTAGATAATATAATAATTTGTATCGATGCTTCGATACAACAGACGACGATCCGATGCATCGACACTAAGGGTGTAAATCACATCCGTCATGGCAATTTGATTCAGCATCGATTTCCTGACCCAACGATTCGATTATTTTCAATACTCAAGAATACACCACGATTCGATTAATTGGTTTATTTTTTTTTTAACCTTACAGGCTAGACAATGTTTCAAATTTGAAATAAATCAATGAAACCTGTAATATCGTTATGCATTTTTTTTTGAGAAACAACAGCAAATAACAGAAGTAGAAAAGTTGTACTCCACCTATTCCTATTAAAACCTCGTTCACTGAAAAATAATAATTCCCCAGCGTTATAGATTCTGAATGGCCTTGCATCAGAAAATACTGCACAAAATCAGTGCAATCAGTGGAACGCTGGGACCCTTTTTCCACCTGGATCTCCGCTCTTTTTGGCCCTCATGTCCCTCCGTCGTATGACTAAACTCGCCCCACTTCCTCACCACCTCGGCCGTATCTAGACCCACAGTGTGTAGCACAGACCACGCTTCAATATTGAGCATAAATCAAAAATGTCTGCGTCAAGCTTACTGCAACACACTGCTGTAAGAGTAAAACCAGGAAGCGAGGTAGGAGGGCAAAATAGGTTTAGCGCCACCGCAGCACAGGAGGGAGAATTATGTTCAAGAGTATCGATTCATGTTTTTTATTTTTTCCTCCGGTCTATTTTTATCCACTTGCTCCTGGACGTAATTCTGACTGCCGTGCTGCGTTGGTGCTAAACCTATTTCGCCCTCCTACCTCCCTTCCTTTAGCCACTACCCTCTTTCCGCATGCACACACACAGCCGCGTAAACAGTAGGCAAGACAGACATGGCGGAGGAAAAAGAAGATGATGTATTCTTGAGTATCGAAAAATAATCCAATCGTTGGGTCAGGAAATCGATACTGAATCAAATTGCCATGATGGATGTGATTTACACCCCTACCCATGACCAGTAGTTGAGAAGGCGGAAAAATAGTAGAATAAAGGGCTTAGCTCCATGATATAAAGAGGTCATAAAGCGATACGTTCTTCCTGGTCGCATGACCTGGCCCATGACCTTTCCGTTATCTCTCAACTTACATGGTCGGTATTTCAAGAGGGGAGCCCCGCTTCTAGCACTGATAGTGTCAAGTATATTGGCCTGAGGAATCATTTAAAATAACTGATGTGTCAAATCATTAGGTCTCAAAGTCCACGTGTGCTTTTAAGGCAGCTACTTTTCCAGCATTCTGGTCCTGATCCCAGTTTGGGTTAATTGCTATATCGCCCTCCATGGCCAAACCAAAATACCTCAGTGATGTCTACTTGATAATCAGTAGTTATCTTTTCTCACTTAATGAAACATTTAAAACAGAAGATCATAAACAAACTGTAGAAAATTTTATAATCGGCTGTCAAAGTAGATATGAAATCCTCAGTGAGTCTAAAGTGGCACATGGTCAGCACACAACATCCTGTGCCAGACAGATTCATTTTTACCTGAAAGTTTCTGTATTTAACAACCACAGCTGCTGACATTAAATGGTGAATCTTAGATCATTACTTTTTTTCCCCCTTTCCTTCGAGTAATGTTCACTCAAACCTCACTTGTTTACAGATACGATCCTCAGACGGATGTTTGGACCACGGTGGCCCCCATGAGCATCAGCAGGGATGCCGTTGGTGTTTGTCTCCTCGGGGACCGTCTTTATGCTGTGGGCGGCTATGACGGACAGGTGTACCTAAATACTGTTGAAGCCTACGACCCTCAGACCAATGAGTGGACCCAGGTACTGCACACAGACAGCAACCGTTTTAGATGGAAGAAGGAATATCTGCAGATTTTTCTAGAAATGTATGTAACAGAAGGACAGACAAATACCATCCATGCCTCATGCAATGTGGGAAAGCAAGCAGAGGATTTGTCTTTCCTCTAGATTCAGTCATATCTCAAAAGACTGGTATATGGGGAAGGTTTTTTAAATGTTTCTGTATTTTATTAGAGGGCAGCTGCCATGTTAAGACTGGCAAGCTGGCAAGGATCAATTTACCTTTTATAAATGGTTAAGATGCAGTTTATTAATGATTCAAATATTAATAAACAACCTTAGTCATCTATTCATGCTCTGTTTACCATATATAAATTATAGTTATTGTAAAGTGTACCCAATATTTGCCATTAAACCATAGTAAGCTTCAAATTTCAATGAAAAGCAATAATTGTTGCAAGAAAACGTATTAGAATCCTGTTTAAAGCAGGTTTAGGTTACAAAACATCTCAACTATCACAGAGAGCTCTGTGTGACGCATTTTGTTCAAATGGAGAGATTGCACAATGGCAGGTAAGGATGTCGTTTATCAGAGAAACAAGCAAGGGGACCTTGATACTCTGGACAATCTAGAAACTGTAGGGAAGAAGAAAGTCATTGTTAAAAGAATAATATTAAAAACTCTTGTTTTTAAGACTTACAAGAGCAACAAACAACCATGTAGTAGAAGCCGCTCAATCAGATAAGATCAAAGTTGAAGCTCTTGTTTTATATCCCAATTGCTTTATGTGGCAGAAAATTAAGATGGCTGACAGATCACAGATGCTTGAGCTATTTTTAAAATGAGGAGCAAAACTTCTTTTCATTTCACCTTATAATTAGACAGTAGTTATTTGGATAAAAAAAACCCAGTAACAAACACTGAGATTTGTGGTTAAAACATAAAAAAAAACGTTGAAAGGAAATCTATTTTAAGCCCCAAACTTGTTTTTATTTTTCCATCCAGTAAATCATCATCACCATCAGTAAAGATTTATAAAAACACAGTTGACCTTCATCAGTCTTCTCTACAATGCATTTTGGCATGTTTTATTCTCACATAAAAGTGGGTTCTCCCTAAGCTAACCTTGTGATTGGTTCTGCAGCAGAAGGAGGCAGAGGGGAGGGCCTGCCATTAAAAAGTGGAATGATCTCATTCAGCAGCTCTAAGGAGTCTATATTACACTCCCATTTATACCCCATATCCTGCAAATCCTCTAAGGACTCCCAGCAGAAAGTTTCAGGAAACCTGACATTTTCAAGACACGTACCACGCTGAGAACATGAGAGGTGTGGGTGGGCGGACACAAAACAGAAGCGTTTAAGCTCACAGTGAGAATGGGGGATAATGTGAGATTTGAGTGAACATGTTGAGAACAGTGTTGTCAGAAACGGAGATGACGAGCAAACCGTCTATTAGCATCACTTCTGATCATTTCAGCACAAATCTGTCAATCGGAGTCGCTGCAGGTAGCACAGACAGTGGGTTTATGTTTAAGTGGATGAATAAGCACAGTGTGGGATAGGTGGATATACGGAATAAAACAGAAGACAGAGCTGGAGACACTGAGGGTTCTTGGGTTGTACTTAGATGTCATTGTGAGTTGGCTCGAACTGTGAGCTCTAACACAAACATGTGGCAAGACTGCTGGAAGTTGGGGCAGTTGACTTATCTTTCCAGCGTTTTATGGTTAATATTAATCAAATCTCAGATTTCTCTTACATTTATTGTCTGAAATGTAAACAGATGGATGTTCTTTCAATATGTGATAAATATGCTGCCTTCACTGCAAAAATATACACTATATTGCCAAAAGTATTTGCTCACCCATCCAAATTATTGGAATCAGGTGTTCCAATCACTTCCATGGCCACAGGTGTATAAATTCAAGCACCTAGGCATGCAGACTGTTTTTACAAACATTTGTGAAAGAATGGGTCGCTCTCAGGAGCTCAGTGAATTCCAGCGTGGAACTGTGATAGGATGCCACCTGTGCAACAAATCCAGTCGTGAAATTTCCTCGCTCCTAAATATTCCACAGTCAACTGTCAGCTGTATTATAAGAAAATGGAAGTGTTTGGGAACGACAGCAACTCAGCCACGAAGTGGTAGGCCACGTAAACTGACGGAGCAGGGTCAGCGGATGCTGATGCGCATAGTGCGAAGAGGTCGCCAACTTTCTGCAGAGTCAATCACTACAGACCTCCAAACTTCATGTGGCCTTCAGATTAGCTCAAGAACAGTGCGCAGAGAGCTTCATGGAATGGGTTTCCATGGTCGAGCAGCTGCATCCAAGCCATACATCACCAAGTGCAATGCAAAGCGTCGGATGCGGTGGTGTAAAGCACGCCGCCACTGGACTCTAGAGCAGTGGAGACGCGTTCTCTGGAGTGACGAATCGCGCTTCTCCATCTGGCAATCTGATGGACGGGTCTGGGTTTGGCGGTTGCCAGGAGAACGGTACTTGTCTGACTGCATTGTGCCAAGTGTAAAGTTTGGTGGAGGGGGGATTATGGTGTGGGGTTGTTTTTCAGGAGCTGGGCTTGGCCCCTTAGTTCCAGTGAAAGGAACTCTGAATGCTTCAGCATACCAAGACATTTTGGACAATTCCATGCTCCCAACTTTGTGGGAACAGTTTGGAGCTGGCCCCTTCCTCTTCCAACATGACTGTGCACCAGTGCACAAAGCAAGGTCCATAAAGACATGGATGACAGAGTCTGGTGTGGATGAACTTGACTGGCCTGCACAGAGTCCTGACCTCAACCCGATAGAACACCTTTGGGATGAATTAGAGCGGAGACTGAGAGCCAGGCCTTCTCGTCCAACATCAGTGTGCGACCTCACAAATGCGCTTCTGGAAGAATGGTCAAAAATTCCCATAAACACACTCCTAAACCTTGTGGACAGCCTTCCCAGAAGAGTTGAAGCTGTTCTAGCTGCAAAGGGTGGACCGACGTCATATTGAACCCTATGGATTAGGAACGGGATGTCACTTAAGCTCATATGTGAGTCAAGGCAGGTGAGCAAATACTTTTGGCAATATAGTGTATCTAAAAGTGAATACACATTCCAAGAAATAGGTTTATGTTGCCCTTCATTTGAAGGGAAATTATCTGGCAATTTTTTAAGCATTTTGGCCCCTAAAATAAGGTACTTAAATATTCTGCACTGAGCATGTGAGAGGAACGAATCACCAAAGGAAGCCAAAACAAAAACACATTTAAAACAAGTGCTTCTATATATCTATCTATATATCGTCCTGTTTAATTAGTAGATATTCAAATGTAAATATTTGACTCAAATAATTGTAAGATTTCTTTATGTACAAATAATTGGTTATAATGAAATGTGGCTGTTTAATTTGTTTCGGGTTTTTTGTCTTTAAATGACATCCAAATTTGGTCATCAGTTTGTAATTATCATTATCTAGCTCATGAGGAAATAAACAATGAGTATAATGGTCAATTTTAATATGCTTTATATTTTAATCCTTTTAAAATTGTTTAAAATCACATTTCTTTTCCCTGGCTTTTAATCATGTCTAAGTGGACATTTGGCAAAATTTTATTTTAAATTTTATTTTATTCTAAAATGTATTTTAATTGAAACATTTATCTTATTCTATTTTTATGTGTTTATGTATTTTAGCCTTTAGCTTTTATCTTATGTTCCTTAACTGTGATTCCTGTACAGCACTTTGGTCAACCCCGGTTGTTTTAAATGTGCTTTATAAATAAAGTTTGAGTTGAGTTGTTTTTTCCATCTTTTTAATGCCTGTCTTTGTTGATGTTTTCCTCCAGGTTGCCCCTCTGTGCCTGGGCAGGGCAGGGGCCTGTGTGGTGGCCGTCAGACTGTGACATCTAGGACGACTGTCTGCCTATGACCTGAGATTGAACCGTACCTGCTGCTGAGGAGACATCGAGTGAAGCAGCTGTCTTCATTAAGGAAAGAAAGGATGGTTTCTGGGCCCTCTCTAGGGGTCCGTTTTACAAAGCAGCATAACAGAAAATTCTAAGTTTTCTAAAATAAGGGAAACTCTGGGTTTTCCGTTTCACAAAGAGTTTAGTCAACCTCTGTTTCCTCTATCTCCGCTCTCCTTACAGCCAATCACGTTGTTTTATTTCCTGATTTAGTCAGGAGATTTTTGGTCATAGGTTTGTGCATAAAAATATAAATAAATAATTCCCTAGGTCAGTTACACAGGTTAGCTTTATAAAACAAACATTGCACGTCCGTTTGACAAGGATCTTATTAAAGACTGATCTGCATTTTTTTCCAGAGAACTAAATACTTATAGAGGATTCTACAACTCAGTTGGCAGGATATGAAATTTATGTTATGGTTTGTTTAATATGAGCGACATGTAGATTATCTTATTTTTATTTATTTATTTTTACAGTACACAAACAATTATTCAAATTGTTTTCAGATTATGCATAAAAAAATGTATTAATCTCACTGGGGGAAAAGGAATTACCTTAGGATTCATTTTGTGTTAGGTTGCCTTAACAACCTAATGAGTCCACTGGAACAATCTGATGCCATTCTGTGGGACTGAAAACCGCTATTAACAACCATTTATTGGTATGATAACATCCAAAGCGGCCAAAACAGCGACTTAGTATTTACTGTGTAAAAGAAGACAGAATCAAACCATGTAGAACCATTGAGACGATGAACAGGCTCTATCTATTAGAACGTTTTTTATCCTTAATCTTCACCTTCTGCCAGATGATTTCACCTAAATAGACACATTGATCTGCTGCTATTCAAGAAATAAACCCTAAATGTTATCGTGATCACAATACGCTATTGCAAGCAGTTTTGATATGTATTCATTTTACTGAACATCAATTCCTGAAATTTAGAAAAAGAAAAAAAAAACATTTCCTCGTCAAAAGGACCATTTTAAACAAAATGACTTTTCTTCATATCTAGAACAAACATTCTGGATGTTTAGATATCAATTTCAGATCTATATTCCTATTGTTACGGGTCAGTATTTGTATCATTTTGAGTTTGAAGAAATGTATTTTAAATATTATAAATACATATTCAATCAAGCTGGTATATTGGAGCAGCTAAATCCCTACGACGATCTTTCCTTCGTCAAATGACGAAAAACGAACTATGTCCATCGTTTTACTAATTGCGTTTCCATAAATATATAAATCTGACATAATCTAAACCAAACACAGTAGAAAACTGTTGCCTCCTGATTAAAAACACCTGAACAGAATCATGGTTAACCTAACATAACCCCATCAAACAATCAGACCTCAAAATGAAATACGACCCCTGGTGGCGATAAACACAGGAAAGGAAAAATGACTCCTACAGTTTATGAAACTTAATTTTTACTGGTATAATTTTTTTTTTTTTTGCTTTCTGAAATTCCATTTCTGCCTCAAAAATGTAATTTAAAAATATATTATTACAGTTTAGTCTAGGAGTTTTGATTTTGTTCAGGAAGTACTTATTTTAGTGGTCTCCAACTGGAATAACAGAGAGCAAAGCACTCTCGCTTTGTATAAATGTAAAAACAGCCTGCTATAGCCCACTTCATACAAACCTACGCATTAATTTGAGCAACAACCTTCACAATCCTCCTCTCCTGTGTAGCAGTAGCGCTGTTTCTCTTTCTTCTAAACACATTCTCCATTTTTTATTTCTTCATTAAAATCTCTAGTTCCAGTCGGATGGAATAGGCACATCTGGTTGCCTGTCGTCGTGGTGACTCGTCAATTCAGGGATCCACTGATAATGGCTTTTCATACTTGTTACATATGTGCTCAACTCTAAGTGTCTCTACTTGGAGTTTATTGAGCTAATTCGTAGCAGCCGTTGTAAAACTGAAAACTCAGAGTTCCCGCCTTTAGGCTAAATCAATTTAGAGTTGACAGTTTGAATCTGAGTTTGTTAAACCTGCTTTGTAAAACGGACCCCAGGTTTCACTCAGACAGAATCACTTCAGTGCTGTCAGCCTCTAGAGATAGGTCTGGTTAGAGTCAAATATTCATATCCTGATCATTTTTTCTTAGTGATCCAGTGTCTTATGGGTTCATTTCCCTCCCCACACTCTCACTTGTGTAGTATGAAGAGACAAACCTGCTAACTACGTTCGTTTCTGCTTACAAATAGGTGAGACAGAGGGAGAGAGACAACTCCCAGCTATCCCTACAAAATCCTAATGTATGCCTTGATGCTATTTTCAATAAGCAACGTGTTCTTTTTATGCTGCGGTTGGCAAATACACTGTTGCTCCGGTTTGCCTGCTGACAGATAGAAGCGAGAGTTTCTGACATAATCAGCACAACCTCATAAGCAGATATTGAACCGCTTCACTGTTTTCATTTAAAATCTGTTTCTTTTTATCTGACGCTTCGGTGTCTGACATATTGCATCAGTTTTGATTTTTATTACCCAGTCCCTACCATTTATCTCTTTCACCTGCTTTGGGGGGGTTTTATCCTATATATCGGTGTTAATGGGTTAATCTCTGAGTTGTGGTAATAGCACAGTGGCCCTGCATCGATTCCTGCAAGGTAAATTAGTGTTCACCTTACCTCACAGGAAAAGCCTGTCTATTTAAAGGCTTGGCTTTAAAACAAGGTCTGTTCAGCTGTTCAGTTTTTAAGCCGAGATATTTTTTCATTTTGTCATTTTTGGTCTGTGTGTGTCTGCTGGTGTTGCATCTGCAGTTTGCAGGGAGTGTATTATTTTATCTTAAATGAGAATCTCCTCCGTTTTCCTCCCCTTTCACTCCACATCCTCAATTCCCTGCAGTTTGCTGCTGCACAGACACACACGGCTGCTTTCACCATCTTGTTTTGTAGCAGACCCAGATACCCTGGCAGAGGCTAACAGCAAAACCTTGTAATGAGGCCGGAAATCTAATGATGCAGACTTGTTTTTGTTTCGTGTCATGTTCAAAGAATTATTAGCTGCAGTGCAGCTCCAGACGAAGCATCACACATCACAAAAGGCTCGCCGAGACTACTTCATGGCATGCTTGTTGTTGGGTTTTTGTTTTGTTTCATGTCTGATAAAAAGGCGGGGGTTCGACAGTGAGAGTAGGAGCAGACATCCTGTCTGAACTCACAGATTTGGAACTAATGTACCATAGAAAATACGCTTCACATTCACACATCTCAGTGCGAACAAACACAAGCTTGCAGCTGCTAGCAGAGCGACCCCCAACCCCGGTGGAGACTGGAAGGCCACCCAGATTCACCAACATGACACCTAAAAAAGGCTCCAATGAAGTTGGACCCATTGTTGCATCATTCTGCGCTTCTCTCCCTCCTTCAAACCTGCCTGCTGCTTATTCGGAGAAACTCTCTTTACCTCCTGGCAGAAGAAGCGTGTTCACTAAAGCAGAGGTTTTAGACACAAAAACACTTACATTCCAAATCTAATTGTGAATATGAATGTAAACTGTGTAAATAAATGACTGTGTCCATTGTATTATTGCATTATGTTGCCTTGCAAAAGTATTTCTAACCCTTAAGCTTTATTTAGTCAAGGAATTTCCTGGAGGTTTTTTATGCGAAATACTGCTGTGGAGTAATGGGGATAAATGTTGTCAATACTTTGTAGAAGCAGGGGATGGTGTTCAGGTTGATATGTTAAATAGTGTTTTAAAGGCAGGTAAAGATGTTTGTCTAAGTCTAACCAGAGCACCTTCTCCCACCCTGTTTGCAGTTTTCCTTCCTTGCCTCATAGGGCCGGATCTATCAAAGGTTTGCGTGTATTAAAACGTGAGCTATTTCACTGCGCACGCTAAAAAATGTACAAACTGATCTATCAACAGCGTGCTAAAAGCATTTGGTCTTTAAAACGTGCTAAATAGCGCCTCTGATCCATTTAGTACTTTTTTTGCAATGAATATGCAATATGAGGCGTTTACACGCTAAAGTGCGTCTTGTGGGAGGAGAACATGTAAATATATTAATTTAGCACTCGCAAAGTGATTTATCAAACTTGAACGCAATTTTGCTAACGGTATCTGACTCTATATTTTACACGTTTCAAAAGAAGGTGCAAATGGTCTGTATGCGTAATTGCGCACACATGGCAGCGGTTATTGTCGCAAGAAGGAGACATGGAAATAAAGCAAGGAGACGCAGACAACGCATTTTTTCACTCCGTGTAAATATTTTTGCAATGAACGAGGAAACGATCATCAAAACTTATCGTCTATCCAGCATTTCCATTCTGGAGCTGTTGGGGGAACTCCGAATGGATTTGGAGCCAGGCACAAGGAGGACCCACGCAATACCAGATATCACAAAACTCCTTGCAACATTGCACTTTTTTGCATCTGGGTCATTCCAGCGTACGGTTGCAGCGTGAGCTGGGATCTCCCAATCTCGTTTTTTCAGAAGTGCTGTCCGACGGGGTCGGGGTTCTCCCCCTGCGCCTGTGGAGCAACGTGCCAAATGCTGCGGGGATCTCATCCACAGTCACAGGCCAATACAAAACACCTGTTTTTTTTTGTTTTTTTTTTTACTGCAGCACATACCACCTTAGGGAATAAAGGTTGCCAATTTATAAATATATATATATATATATTTACTTATTTTTTTTTTTTGATGGGGGTCACTGTAAGATTTAAATTTCTTAATGCACTAGTTTGTACATACTACAAACTACTTTGCCGCAAACCACAAAACGCGCAAAACCATCATTTAAATAGGGCGTCTCCAACAGTTTTGCACCTTCCACCAGTTACGCAATCACTCTTGCTAAATCACCCGCAAACCATGGTTCAGCCCCTCGCGCAAAATTCCAGTTTGCGAGCGCAAATTACTGCACGCAAAATTGGATCTTGATAAATCTGGCCCATAGTGCGCTGCAAACCGAACCTCATATGGCTTTATTTCTACCTTCACAGAGGGCAGGTGCGAGCTTTGACATGGGTCTCCAGGCTGCTTCTCATTAAGCAGCCTAGGTGGACAGCCAGATGCCTTTGCAGCTGTGCACAACTTCATCCTTTCCTTTTAATGAACTGAACTCTCAGCTGAGATGCTAAAAACATTTTATAACCTAACCCTGCTTTAAACATCGCTGCAGCTTCCTCAGTAGATGCTGTGTTCCTTGGTCGTTTATATACACACTTCCAACAAACTCCTAATACCCTCACAGGATGCTTTGATTATAAATACACTTTTAGTTGGCGATTAGTGACTTTTAAAGGCAGCTAGTCACACTGAACTTTATTTGGAGGGGAGCAGAGTAAAAATAAAGAATATATATGTGAACTGCTCTCTTTCAAGCATGTATTCCTTTCTTTCTACCTTACAGTTATTCACTATTCTGGTCTATTTTATCAAGTCCCAATAATTAATAGCAAGTTGTAACATGACAAATGTTTAAGGTGTGTAAATACTTTTGCAAGAAACTGTAAATCAGGCTTAATGTACCATGTGTTGTGTTCCTTATGCAGTGAAAATCCGTATGAATGTCTAAAAGTGTTGGTTTGCAGCTGCTCATCTCTGGCGCGCACCTCGCCGTAAATGTAAAGGAAATGCTCAGTTTTTGTTTTTTTTATACAATAAAGTCAACATGTGATTGAAAACGTGTTTGTCAGTTTATTCCTCACTGCGCCGCTCTTGTTCATGGCGCAGATGTTTCTGCAGGCAGTCTGCATTTGTCACAATCACAATAAACGTTGTTGAGTTGTAAAATTAGTTTGTTTATACGTGGCTTGCAGCTTGTTGCCGTGGGTTCGGCTCCACTGGTGGCCTCTGCTCTTCGCCGCTTCCAGCTGCTGTCGTGTGGATTTACATTAATTTCCGTTGCTTGCTGGTTAATAGATTCTTTGTTTCTCCTAAAAGTGTCTCACCGAAGTTAAAAGCTTCAGACAAAGCAACAGCAGGTTGAAGTGTTTCCTGACTAAAACAAGTACGAGTGGAAGAGGAATGCTCACAATTTATTAGTTCTTTAACCTCCAGCACAGCGACAGGCAGCCAGCTGAGTGGCTCTGTTATTTATAGCAGGGGAAGCTTTAAATCATGGCTCTGACAAGGGTCCCCAACCGGCGCTGAGAAATGATGCCACTGACCTTGTCTCACGGCCTTAAAAGCACCTGATTCTATTACACCTGACAGAAAAATGAGGGAGACGGAAAAGTTCTGAACTTTGAGGAGCCACAGGATGTACATCCCAGCTGACTTCAGATATTCAGCTACACATTTTACCACAAGTGCGCTCATCTCTTTTAGGACTGAAACAATCAGATTAATATATGATTGAAATAATCGTCAACAAATTTAGTAATCAATTAATCGTTAACTGGAGAACAACCCACTAAGAGCAGTAATTATACCAGGACTGTAAAAAAATATATTAACATTTTGCATTTAAGATAAAAAAAAAAAAAATGTTTTTGTCTGTCAGTATGCTCTATCCAGATCTCCTCAAGTGGAAAATTCCAATTTCATAAAAGTCTTTTTTTAAGAACCTTTGGCTATTCGATTATTAATCCATTAACTGAAAAAAATTATCAACAGATTAATTGATTTGCAGAATAAGCATTAGTTGCAGCCCTAATCTGTTTCGACATGCTGCTTGATTCAGTTAGGAAGCCTTTTTCTGTTG